TATATATATATATATATATAGAGAGAGAGAGAGAGAGAGAGAGAGAGAGAGAGCATGCGCTGCTGACTGATGTTTTTATTCTCGGACTGCTAACAAGTAAATATCAATCACAATATTGCACTAAAAACAGTCATCAGCCATGGCCCCATCTGCATGCCTGTGAGTGAGTGGAATGGTCCTAATGTCCGGCTCACAGCTTCAGGGGGCTTCACTAGTCTGCCTCAAAGGTTGGTTTGTCCCTTAGGGTGAACCTTACTATTCAGGGTATATGAGTCAGACAGTAGAAGGGGAAACCCTGCTTTGTGAAAGCGTGGCCAGAGCCTGAAGAGGGCAACCGCGGCAGGGAACTTCGTCTGGCAACAGCATATCTTCTGCAACCATACGAACTGGCTTAAGCCTATCCAAAGAAACGCCCTCTTACGCCCACCCATATTCAGCACCAAACCCTAAGAATCATGCTCAAGCACCCGGAACGTCCCGTCATATCGCGGATGAAATGGCAAGAGCCGGGGTATTTTGGTGCACAAAAAACAAAACAAGCAAACATAAATTTTGAGTGCATAAAAAGCTTAGGAATACAATGGTGAACAGGTGCAAGGTTCAAGGAATTGGAAACGGTTTGTGTATTCGTTATCTCTAGTCTTAAGTGTGAACCAGCGCAGATTGAATGTTGAGGAAAAATGTTATTTATGTAAGCCCTCTCATGACTGATCCCTTCCAATTGCATCACTGTATACATGTAAACGTTTTGACAAATGTGTTGATTTAAAAAAAAAAATCTAATTAATTTCTGGACATAGAAGCAGAACATTTCTCTGACAAGCTACTCTGCTGTTGCTTGTGCTCAAGCTTGTTAGTGGTGAGTGTTTATTCATGTATTTTCCTGTCAACACTGACAGTCTGTCTGTCCTCTTTTTAGAGGAGCACTGCCTCCCAGTGGAGAGTAGCCAGCCACTGGCTCCTGAAACACACATGACTGAAAACACACATACACACATGCACACAGTGAAACATTTTTGGAAGCGTCATCAACACATTTCATCATAGCTCAATTATCTTTTCCACTTCTGTTGATGAAAGTCAAGACAAGCCATTTTATATTAGAGCTGGCACCTATTGGCCAAGTTAAAGTTTGCTGAAACATTGTTACATTGCAGTACATGTAAATTCTGGAAGATTTTCTACGTCATACCACTTTACCATTAATTTTTAGCAACTGCATTGTTGCATGTATCCTACATCAGCCGTCCCCAACCATTTTTGCCCCACGGACCGGTTTAATGTCCGACAATATTTTCAGGGTCCGACCAGCCTTTAAGGTGTGGCAGATAAATCCAACAAAATAATTTGATATGACCTGCATGAAAACTGTGTTATTTTCTAAAAAAAATAATAAACACAAATCATGACAAGAGGAACGTCTTATCTGACCGCAACACTCTCTGGTCTCTATGGCAACATTTAAATTTGTTATCAAAATAACATACACCGCAAATACAAAGTGCATGAAAAATACGACTCACCATGGCTGCATATTATGCACAGTGGGCTTGGTGCGTGGGAATCTCCCGTAGAGATAAATCTGTATTTGAAGTAGGACTCCTGCTTCTGTCTATTAAATGTAGCCTTTTTTTTAAAGTCATAGGTTCCTCTTCTGTCTCCTGGCTCGGCCTTTTCCCCTTCCCAAAGAAGCTTTCCACAGACGTTTGTTTTTTACTCATTTTGCTAGCTCCTGCGTTTTATTTTAGCATGTGATCGAGAAGCGTGCCTTGACCTGCGTTAGACGGATGTAACAGAGAATCCTTTAGATTCCGAAATAAATAAAATGGAAGTAATGTAAGTTATTTATTCTGCCTGTGCGGCCCGGTACCAAATGACCCACGGACCGGGACCGGTCCACGGCCCGGGGGTTGGGTACCACTGCCCTACATGACATGAATTAAAAAACAAAAACAAAAATAAAACATTGCATAGATACATACACTCTCCTGAGCAAAAGTATTCCATTAGCAATGCTATAATTACCTTGTAATTTTGTCCAGACTCTTTATTAGAATACAATCAATGAACAAAAATAAAAAGGGAAATTACTGTATATTGGCTAAAATAACAGTTATTTTGTGTGACCTCCCTTTCACATTACACTTTTCCGTGGCATGACGATTGGAGTAAAACGTACCCCTGAAAAAAATCTTTAATTGTTCGTCATTACCTAAAAATTACCTGCTGTAATAGCTAGCAAAAGCAGTTATGTACTGTTTGCTTTTCTTTTGTTATGCAGTGAAATGAGGGGATGCTTCAGGGCTGCTCAGGTTGAGTTATTTGTTTACTAGCCTGACTGTACTCCACAATCAAGAATGAGAAGAAAAAAACAATGAACAGTGAAAAAAAGTTTGCTTTTCAAAGAGGGGTCTTTAGTGCTAAGACTGTACACTGACAACTCCCCCTCTCTCTCTCTCTCTCTCTCTCTCTCTCTCTCTCTCTCTCTCTGTCATGTTCAAGCTCATAGTGTGTAGCATGAGATGTTGATGGCACCAGATGCTCTATTCTGGCATGCACATCAGATGACCACGTTGTAAGCACATACAATTTCGCTTAATAAATTCTATGTTATCATACTGCGATATTAGCAATGCAAAATGCCATTCATCGTTCAGACCTGATGTATTTTTACCAAATGAATGACCCAGTGCTTTGTCATCATTCTGCTCCATGTAGAATTCAATGCCCATATTGTTGCAGTAGATTTCTTCCTCTCTGATCCAGGCCTATAGCTTCATTCATCTCATTTAGTGTTTTACTATTGCTCTTGAAGAACACAGTACGGTACAGTACAGTACAGTACAGTTAGTCATATTTAAGCGCAAGCGCCTGCCTGACATTATATAATGGTAGTGAACTGACTCCTTAAAGGGGCAGATTGTACAAACTCAATTGCAGTAAAGTTGGGATGTTGTTAAACATAAATAAAAGCAGAATACAATGATTTGCAAATCACATTTAACCTACATGTATTAAATGACTATGCTACAAAGACGAGATAGTTATTATTATTATTATTTTTAAATCTTGTCAACACATTACGGTGCCTTTCGGTTTCATCTCGATTCTTTGTCATTGTGCCAAAAGGAATCATGGTGGAAACTGAGGCTGTATGTGAAAGTGAAAACTAGAAGCTTTTATTGTCATTTGATGATGAGTTAGAAAATAGTGAGGAGCTGAAAGGATTACTGGCCACTGATAATCTGTAGCCTCTCTTCTGACGTAAAGAGGTGGGGAACGACATGAGAGCGGGACTGTGGTGTGTGGCTGGGCGGCTGCTTGTTCCTTCTGGGCCTTGTTGCCAGCTGATTTTAGATTAGTCGGGACATCCGCCATCTAAGATTCAGGACAATTGTGCTTTGGCAAGCTTGATAGTAACTACTAAGATGACCGTTGCTTGGGAAACATCATCCAATGGGTTGCAGATTTATTTCATCGCAGTGCCCTGATTTTAACTTATGGTTCTAAAGTGGAATACAAGTGATCACCCTGTTTCTCTGGTGCTCCGGATTTGTTTCTGAGAAATAAATGTTTGGATTATAAATACAGAGGGAGATAAATCCTGCTTTTGTGCTGTCGGAGTGAGGCGATAACCTGGAACAATGCTTCCATGTGAGTATGTGATTTTTTCTCTCGGTCTAATTTTGAGGATGAGGAATTAAATGTGATCATTTTCACTGTCCATGACAAGCAATCATCATTTGTGATGGTATGTGGTGCTGCAGCAGGGCTGAATCACAGTAAAAGTGCATATAGAACATAATTTTAATCATCTGTCTATTGAGTTGATACAGACAGACTCCCTCAATATTTTGTTGCATCAACAACAGTGACATTATCATGAAATGCTTTATGTAAATGAGTTACATTCACTGTATCAAAGACAGTGATGTATTTCAATGACCTCAGAGAAACGGAAGTCTTCTTTCCTGTGCTTGTCCTCACTTTTTCATTCAGTGACAGTGTATTAGCTAAAAAAAAAAAAATTGAACTAAACACTTTTTGATAGAATGATGTTCTTTATTGAATTACCCTGTCAAACGTGTTTGTCCTTTTAACCCCTACAGGTAATGTGGGTATGCAACCTGTGCCGTAAGCAGCAAGAGATTCTCACCAAATCAGGAGAATGGTTTTCAGAGTCAGGGGTGCAGCCTGGGAGCCTGGGCTCCACCTTGAATGACCCAGCCAGGGTGCGCGAAGCCCAACGGGATAGGAAGCTACTCCGCTCCAAGTCTCAAGTCCCGTCATCTACAACTAACAGCAATACCGAGCTGCCACCCAGGACGCAAGGACCCACTGGTGGTACTTCACCGAAGGCTCCAGACAACATGCCTGGTACTCGCTCTCAAAGTGTACCACCACGAGAAAAGTAAGATTCAATCCCCATTACAATGTGTTATAATTCTACATACAGTAAACTGCGTCGTTGTGTGGAATTGATTGTTGAATGTTTTTTATCTTTGAAGCAAAACAATTACAGCAAAAAGGAACAGGAACTAACACAATGGGTTCCAAGAAGCTGGTCGAAAGCTAAATTGTTTTTAAATCGGAACACATTAAATTTCAAACTATAACTGCCATTTGAGGTCATTAAGAAAAGAAATTTCTGTCGTGTGCTGCCGAAGAAAGTTCACGTCATAGGTGTGTTTGAAAATGAATATGAAAGTCAACCAGAAGTCAGGCACACAGTTCCGATCAGACCCCAAAACTCTTTATTCCATGGCGGAATTATGTCAACATGCACCTCAGTAGTACATACTGTAATTGACCTTTAGGGAGAAGTTGATGTGCATACACAGATGGTGAAGGACGAAGAAGTGATTATTGGTGAGAGGCGGACTTGTAATTGACACCGACTTCTTCAGTGGACAGTTCATTGGAAATATATTTGGCGGGTTCCTCTTATATCCTACAGTGCAAATTGAAGAAAGAAGACTGGCTTGTCCACATTAGAAAAGAGACAAATGGTGCTTGTTTCAAGGTTTTTTGTCATTCTAAGTTGAAGTGTACTGTAAAAATGAGCCATACAACGAAAGACTATCAAACTTTGCATATTTAAACAAACATTTTCAACCAAACCATATAATTCTACCTTACAAAAATTATCATACATTTTGAGGGAATTGCAAACTTCAAAGAACGACTACATTAACACACATGGCGGAGAAACGCATATAAGCAGAACCTTCACAGCAATGTCAAGCACACACTTGGACAGATTTGTTGGTCCCTCACTGTTAATAATGAAAAAAAAAATACTAATAAAATCCAAATGTGAAAATTACATACACAAATCATGGACAAAAAGGCCTGGACAAAAAAGACGGTACGCCCAGAAAACAAAAATAATTTGATGATAAGGTCATGTTCAAAAAAGGTGTGTCCTCTAATTAGCTTCACAAGTGCTACAAACTTGTAAGCAGTCATTTGACCTATTTAAAGGGTGACAATTAGTCAGTGTGCTGTTTAGTGACATGGTTTGTAGACACACTAAACATGACCAGAGGAAGTGAAGGAGAGAGTTCTCTGAGGAGACAACAATGAAAATTATAGGCAAGTCCATCGCTGCCTGGCATGTTCACAACCAGGTACTATGCTGAATGCTCACAACTCTGAATTCTGACTGTCCTGTCAAAGTGTATTGTAAAAAACAAAACCAAAACTGTCACTTAAATATCTACAATTAATAGATCTAGAATGTATTTATTTGCTGCGTTTGGCTGGTGACCAGTTCAGAATGTACCCTGCTTCTTGCGCGAGGACAAGTGGGATAGGCTTCAGCACTCGCATCCCTAGTGAGGAAAAGCAGTTCAGAGAATCGATGGATGGATTTATTTGGGGACAAAATGCTTCAGCATAGATGGGTGCACCAACACATTTTGCTGGTACATTATTCATCATTCACTGGCCTGCCAGTCCGTCATCATTAGTCTGCCATTATTTCAGGCCAGACCAATTCGTTATTTGTCAGTCTGTCACTCAGTCATCATTATTTTAACCATGCTTTCATCAATGCATTTTTAAAAATGTTTTTACCACTATTTTAGGATTCTCAGTAAGCAAACTATTTACACGGGTAACATCACACAAACACGTCATTGTGTTGTGTCTGGTTCATTTCACTGTCTCTGTCACTTAGAGGTTTACTGGCTCTACAGATAGGTCTATCACCATCAGTAGATATCCATGCATGATCTATAAAAGTCGAGAAATGCAGCGAAAAACAATTTAAGCAATGTAACTACACTTGATCAAACAGGGGTTGATAACCCCTAAAACATTATTTGCCAAAGGTCGTCTTTGCCTTTCAGGTCAGTTTGGATAACAGCCGATATTTGCTTCCGTTGGTGCTTATTCCAACAGTATTTAAACGTTTCCGTCAGTCCACTCACGAAATGAGAGTCCATCAGTGATGGACTGATGACCTTTCTGTCAGTACTGCCCACCATTTGGTTTAAGTAGTAAAAGTTTTTAACGTGGAAATCACAATATAATATTTGAGCTTATCACCAGTAACTTTACTCCACTTGTGCTGCATCACCATCATTTTTCAAGTCAAGTCAAGTACACCTTTATTGTCAAATGCGCTGTATGTACAACATACAGCACAGATGAAATTTCCTCCCTCTCAACCAGACAACAAGACAACAAGAGGAGCCGCTGCGGGTGCCCACACTGCCATCAAAAGAACAGTTAACATAAAATGACAAACTAATACAACACAACACATAAGACACAGACAGTCGTGAAATCTTAACCACTTTTCCTACATACACTTTGTTGTTTGAAATAGTTATAGACAAAAGAGGAGCGAATCAAAGTGTCCTTTTCACCAGTGGATCAAAGATGTCATGCTGAAAATGTGCACACGTCTGCTACAAGCTAGGTTTGAAAGCAAACAAGAAGCTGTAGCGTCCATTGACGAAAAAAGAGATTGGCTCACATGTAAATCCACTTCAATTCCAAGCCGCGACTCCCAGTTCCACATACGCATCGGCGCTCTGCGCTGACGCTCCTTTCTTCTCATCGTCGGCTCCTCAAGCCATCCACCATCTAGCCGTAGACTGTCCAACAGCGCCGACCTTTCTGCTGAACAAAGCGGGGCAGTGAAAATGCTGCCCGTTACAGGCGCAAAACACAATCGCCCCGGGGCTGTCCAGCAACGACATTCCTCCCAATCAAAATCAGTGCTGGTGCACGCATGCTGCCGAGAAGGTGCAACCACCAAGCACAGATTCTTCTTCTTGGACGAATGCCGTGGCCAAAAATGCTGAAAACAATCCACATCAGGTCCACACGACGAAACAACAACACCATGTGACAAAACAAAAGACAAAAGCACTTGCCGACGGCTGCCTACTTGGGCGTCATCTTGGAAAAAAAAAATGAATAAATTCAATTCTCTGTTTATCCATTCCTAGACCCTCAAGCTAAATGGAAAGTTGCTTAGTGGTGCCACTATAATCCTGTTTAAAGACTTAAAGATGTATGAGTTTCTTGAAGGCATAGGTGTTGATGTTTGTATGTCAATGCACCACATTGTATTATCTAATTATCCTTTTTTCACTGTAGAAAAAGGCCAGTGTCATACCATGAACAGAATGGTAAGGGAGGCCCGGGGCATGGTACTGGCCGGAGACCTGCTGGAAAGTTACCAACTCAGTCTTCTTTAGATGAGAGGGTTGGCCCTGGGGACCGAAGAGAGAGACAGCCAAGAGATGGTCACAGGCTGGAAAAGATACATTCTCAGGACTACGATGATGGGGAGGACAACTTGGGTCACTTAGAAAGAAATCGGAGACGACCAGTCGATGATGAACAAAGGGAGCGGCAGCGACGTGAGGAGGAGTTCCAGAACCGTTATCGTAGTGATCCCAACCTTGCCCGATACCCTGTGAAGCCACAAAAAGAGGAACAGGAGATGCGCATGCACGCCAAGGTATCCAAGGTCCGTCACGAACGTAGACACAGTGATCTTGCAATCAACGAGGTCGGACTAGGGCCCGGTGAAGGGGGAGGCTGTGAAGTGCAGGTCTCTGAAAACCGTTTGAGCAGGAGAGGAACTCGCAAAGCCCAATCAGAAAATTATCGAGCTTACTCTGTTGAAAGGACCGCGGGGGAACCAGGGGGACTGTTGCCTCCAGAAAAGAAGGACTGCTTTGAGCCAGGTTTAACACAAACGGCAAGAGAAAAAGGTAGGGACAACTTGTTGAGGAAGGACTCACAAAGTTCGGAACAGTCTGAGTCTTTGCGGCCGCCCCCTTCGCGGTCGTACAAGAGCAAGCGCGGAGTAAACAAGAGGCAGATGTCCATCAGCAGCTCAGAGGAGGAGGGCGGCTCCACGCCTGAGTACACCAGCTGTGAGGACGTTGACATGGAAAGCGTCAGCGAGAAAGGTCAGTCACACAGATGGGCTCTCTACCAATTTTATAAAATGCTATAGGAATTAATTTAACATTTACTTTCATCCTTGTCCCGTAAGACTTTTATTGTTCTTTTAAAATACAAAAGCAACACTCAATTTATAGCCTAATTTTGTTGTCGCCAAAACTTGGCCTGTTGTGTGGTTTCGGCTTTTACCAAACTCACACGATTTTCTGTCATCTTGCAATCTCTTCTCACCAAAAGTCTCATTTCTTGAATTCTTATGTTTTTTTTTGTTTTTTTTTAATTTTTAATTAAAAAATATATAATTCTTATCTTCATGAGAACATTGAGGTAATTCCTGTATCCCATTGTGTACGGTAGTGGCATGACAAGGAATTTGAAGGCTGATTTGTTACACGATTGACACAGAGACACGTTTTTAAACCGAGTAAAATTGTCGTTGCACCTTTCATGTTTTCGCATCAGGGGTTGCCACACCGAATCACTTTTGACTGGCTCCATTTTTATGTTCGATGTCCTTTCTGATGCAACCGGCCCATTTTGGGTGGTTGAAGAGAAAGCATGAAAACTTTGTGCAGTAGAATTCCAATAACAAATCCTGTATCTTCTCCTGGCATGTTCGTGTGTAGCGTGCAGAGTACGTCAGGATTTTGCAAAATAAATAAATAAATAAATAAATCACCACATCCTCGCAGGGTAGATTCTGCAGACAGCACATTGTATTACTGTGTCATTTACACCTCTGTGGCGTGGCTACTGTGGCTCTAAGCACAGCGCTCCTTTATTTGGAGAGACCCTGTGATTTAGGCCAGCAGATTTATGGAATTAGGTCAGTGTTTCTATTGCTATGTAATGCTTTATGAACTGCCAGATGCAAAAGCTAAAGTGAAGGCACGGTCGCATGTTGTAGCATTTTTGGCCACCTTTTTATAGTGTTCACCAGCTCACACCTGTGTAACTGATGTTTGACTGTGCCAAGAGAGCACCACGTCGGGGATGTGTCTTATGCAGGCAATGGGTCGAGATAAATGTGCTCGAAAAGCTTATTTCTCTCACTGGTGACGGTAGGGTTAGGTTCCAGATGTTTTAATCCAGATTACTATGACTCAGGGACTGGTAATGGGTTGATGGTTGTGGATTGTGATTCTTACCTGTTTTTAAACACGCGTGTCTTGTCTCAAACATATACCCTCCTCTGTCTGTACCTCTCACCTATGACTTGATATCAACTCGGTAAAATGTATTGCAACTGCTACAACTTTGAATATATTATGAATCAAAACACACCAAACCATTTTGTAAAACCGTTAAAAAAAGAAACCCGTTGTCTATTTCCTATTTGGCCTTTTTTGTCAAACACAAAACTAAAATATGCATGCCCCTATCCCACTGAGGGACGAATATTTGCGAGCATTTGTGAAGGGAGCGAATGTTCTTGTCAGGGTTCGTTTAAGGTCACTAGACATTCGTAAAATGTTCTCCAGTTGTCTGAAATTTCCTTGCAACAAGAAAAAACATAAAAACGGTTGGCGAACAGTTGGCGAACGTCTGTAGAACGTTTGGCAAACGTTTGCGACATTGAACGAACCCTGACGCAAATGTGTATTTTCCTACCTTCGCCACTGAAGTTGGTACGTGTTAAACATAGAGACAGAATGATTTGCAAATCATAATGTAATGGGCCATCAAGGAGGTGAGTATTGAGTATACCCTGCTTGACTCATCACCGCAAAGCCCTTTATAACGTGCGAGGATTAAAAGTCTCCACAGATGAGCTGACATGTTAGTTTTATTACCATTATACTTACACAACATAGATTGCTTTGCACACTGTCATACTTCGTCAATGACTTTGTACCACTGTTGTAATACTAAGTGGTGCATTACAACACATTTTCTGTATACTGCTGCTGGTGCATCTTCCCGCGGAGACTGCTTTCCATTCTCATACCTGCATTAAAATAGAGAATAGTGACGGAAAAGAATTAACATGAAGCTCGCGTGAGGTGCACATTTTGTCACCATCACAGAGCAGTCATTCCATGCAAAAGTGAGATGTACAATTTGTTAGCAGTCATTCATTTCACTTAACAATTATACATATAATTCAACATTGACAGATGCCTGTTTGTGGGATCTTGGTATAAGCTGAAAATAGCTCGGGGGGTGGGTTGGGGTGGTGCTTCACGTCGCTGAGGCCACCTACGGTGAGCCTTGTACTGCCACACTAGCAGGCTATTTCCAAAGCCTGCTGAAATGAGGGGAGGTGGGAGGTGGAAAAATCACCCCAAAATTCCCTTCCGCAGCACCAAGCTATTGGCCCCAGTTGAGAAGGCCGCCAATGACCGCCTCTCTGTTGGCCCGTCAAAGCGTGCACATTGTTTGCTCAGAAGGAATGAGAGAGCTCACACAAATTTGGTGAATTGTAGTGAATTATACAGCCGAGGAACCGATTTATTTATTTACCGGATTTTCCGGACTATAAGTCGCTCTGGAGTATAGGTCGCACCAACCATAAAATGCATAATAAAGAAGAAACAAAACATACATAAGTTGCACTGGAGTATACGTCGCATTTTGGGGGGAAATTTATTTGATAAAATCCAACACCAAGAACATACATGCCATCTTGAAAGGCAATTTAAAATAAAAATAAAATAGAAAACAACACGCTGAATAAGTTACATGACGCATAAACGACGAACTGAGAACATGCCTGGTATGTTCAAGTAACATATTAAGAGTTATTCAGATAACTATAGCATAAAGAACATGCTAACAAGTTCACCAAACCATCAATGTCACTCCAAATCACTAAATCCAATGAAATCTTCATCCTCTGTGTCACTTTAAAACAACTCCACCAACTCCGGAGGTAGAAGATGCAGCGCTTCCTCTTCTACGTAGCTTACGTCAGACTCATCATGGTTATATCAATACATGTCTAGAGCGGTCTCTTGTGGTTTAATGTGTAAATAACATGTGAAATGATATGATAATGTGTTAATAATTTCACCCATAAATTGCTCCAGAGTATAAATCGCACCCCCAGCCAAATTATGAAAAAAACTGCAACTTATAGTCTGGAAAATACGGTATTTATTTTCAAGGTATTTCGTTTATTTCAGCATTGCAGTTTTCAGCCTTGGATTCTTCATTTTCGGTTTTGGCCAAGAGTTTTCATTTTGATGCATCCTTAATATAATAAGGTCATACCTGTCTTAATCCATGCTGGGTCAGAGCCTGACCCCTAAAAAAGGGGAAGCTAAGCAGAGTAAACCGTTACCTTCCCAAGAAAGTGTGTCTTGGTTGGTCTCACTCTCCTCTGTCTATGGAGCGCTGTGTTATTTCTGACCCCTTTCCCGTCAAAGTTCTGCTAATCGGCTGGTATGTTTCCCTCTCAAAAGGTGCTGTGTTAAGTAACCTCACTGAATTACTTCATGTCTACTCCATTTTCCAATTGTCCCCACAACCAAAGTTCAACTTCTCAATCGAAAGTTGGTTTCTTATCATGACCCTCCCATCATGTGGCTGTTGCTGATTGCTGGAATGTAGCGAACCACCTTGGTCATACCTCTTTCATTGAAGAGAAGCTACTGCGCTAAGGTGCTGTGTTAAGTAACCTCACTGAATTACTTCATGTCTACTCCATTTTCCAATTGTCCCCACAACCAAAGTTCAACTTCTCAATCGAAAGTTGGTTTCTTATCATGACCCTCCCATCATGTGGCTGTTGCTGATTGCTGGAATGTAGCGAACCACCTTGGTCATACCTCTTTCATTGAAGAGAAGCTACTGCGCTAGAGCAGGGGTCCCCAACCGCCGGTCCGTGGACCGGTACCGGTCCGCCGGGCATTTGGTACCAGGCCGCACAGAAAGAACTTGCCTTAATTCCGTTTTATTTATTTCGGAATACGAAATATGTTTTATTTTGAAAAAATACCGGATTCTCTGTTACATCCGTCTGTGTCACGCTTGACTCACGTCAAGGCACACTTCTCGGTCAGTTGACCGATGACGCTCATAAACAAAACGCTGAAGCCCGCAAAATGAGTAAAAAAGCTGCTTGGAGATCGCAAATGACGGCGGCCTTAAAAGTACGTTCGAAACAACTG